GATTTACAGATTCACAGAGGCAGAAATTTATTCCAAGAAAGAAAAAACATACAAACTGCCTATAAAGCAGTTAACAAACAACTTGCAGCTGCTGTCTAGCCTTGAACGAAAGTTAAATTTGCACAAAAAGACCTGAAGGCGTTGACGCAGATGCTCCCACATAAAAAACCCAAAAGAAAAGCTGAAATCGTTAGGTATTCCCACACAAACACGCACCTCTCCACTCCAAATTAAGAGTCTCTGACGCACACGTATGCAAATCGTACTAGCGGAACTCACAAAATTATTTTCTAAAACAGAAATCTTCAAGCGGAGACCCAAGAGCTTCTTTGTGGAATGACAGAAGGTAACGTCAGCATCAGCAGCAGCAACACCAGCACCAGCACCGAAGCCAAGCTTTGCGATCTCTTGCTTTCTTGCTCTCTCCCTGGCTCTGAGAGAGAGTCTGGTTTGCCACCTCACCGTGAAGAAGTGGTCCCGACTCTCTCTCTCTGGCTCTGGCTCTTTCTACCACACATATGTAGTTAGAACTTGAAATTTCACTGGAAGCGGAGTGGAATGGAATTCACAAATTGCAAAGATTTCAATTCAAGGTTGTTGCTCTCTGAATCTGCCGGCCGCAGCACACCACAACTTCTGAGATATCTGGACGCTCTGACTCTCCCGCGTCATGTTTCTGCCTAAAAGATTCTCTGACTGTGTCCCGGGAATTTTTTACAGTCAAACTCGTATAGTACGGGGCTTACAACAACGCGCTCCACTTCTCTAAATAAGAAAAAAAAATCTCCCACAAGAGATATGTATGTATGTACATATTTTGTTGTAGAGAGCTTTAAGGCTTTTACAGTAATTTCATGAAGAATTTACAACTTGAGAATGTTAAACACATATTATGTTTGCCTATTTGCTGATGCCATCAGTTTTCGTTTATGAAAATGGGCGATAAGAGACCTTTCGTTGTTCAAATATTGTCTTATTTGTACTCTATAAACCCGAATAAATATTTGATGAAACTATGAGTAGCAGCTTCGAACAGTAAATCGAATGACAAGTGGAGAGACTCCCCTGACAAGACCAGACCAGTATTGCCCTGCTCCAGCAGAGCGCACACACACACACAGAGAGAGAGAGAGAGAAAAACGAGGCAAATACATAAGCGAATGAAAAAATACAATAAAAACGCCGGTAAAGGTCATCAACCGGAAGAGCAATGCTGCGGAATGTGATCATGTATTAGTGTGTTTCGAGTGTTTGTGAGAGTCGAAATCTTGCGGTGCCAATTATCATTATGACCATCCTATAAATAATTATGTATTACGGTCTGGCAGCATGCAAAATATACTTTGCTGCTCGCCCTGGTTACAAACTGCACAGTTGGCCTAATTCTCTGTATTCTTTTTTCTCTCACTCGCCGCAATGTTCAATTAGTTGCCAGCAACAGCACGAAAAACACATGGAATTTCTCTGCTTTCTGTCAGCCAGTGCCAGTGCCAGTGCAGCCAAGTTAGCTATTGTTTCTCCGCCAAGTCAGCTTTTGATTGCAGTATTCTGGATATATTCATATTCTATCAGTGAAGAATACTTAAATAAGACTTAATTGTTATTTCGAAAATTGTTCTGTTTTATTTTTATTTTAGTATTTTTGGTAATAATATGTTAGCCATTTCTAGCTGTTCCAATCGAGCAACACTAGGAACGGTGCAAGTGCTTCACAGTCCCTCTCCCTTACTCTCGCACGGACAGCACTCATTCATTATTTTCTTTTATTTATTCATAAATGCATTTTTCTCGTCTGCTATTTTCAGCGAGCAGGCGACACGGCCGGCAAGCGGCTCAAGTGTTTTAATTTTAGAAAGCTCTCCTCCACTCTTCTTTTATGATATTTATGCAACATGCAATGTTTTTGCCCGCCGCAGGGAAAGAGAGTGTGGTGGCATGTGGGAGATTTGGTCTTCTTGCGTGGGAGCGTCAAGTTCGTTTGTAGTTTTGTTCTTCGATTGGTAGGTCACCCAAAAAAATACATTCGACGACATTTTGGTCCAGGGAAGATTGCCCCAGATTGGGAATACTTTTTAAAGCTGTGACTCACAAATGTACACGCATGTGTGTGTGTGTGTGTCACGGCTATAAATAAGCTTATTGAATATGATGTCCCTTAATGATTATTGATTGCTGACGTAGACAAGTGACTTTTCAATACTGTCCGATTTATCAATTGGGTTTTCCTAGAATTACAGTTCCGAAGGCCTTATCGCCAATTGAACGTGAATGAAACGACTCGATGTGCATTTATTATTTATTCGACTGCAGGCCACTGTCTCCCTCCCTCTCTCTTTCCGCTGCTCTTGATAAGCTGGGGCCAGAGAATGCGTGTATGTTTGTGTGTGTGTGGTGAGGTCAGCAGAAGGCTGCCAACAATGTGTAAATTGTCAGAGCAAGACAACGCGAATAAAGAGGACAGGCACATCAATTATGTTCATTTCTTGAGTTTTTGATAAAATCTCAAACGGGAATACCAATGCACGCTGAGGGGGGAGCAAGGGCGTAGCGCAGCGGCGGAGCAGCCCAGACGGCGGCGCACAAGTTTTTGGCAAATCAAACAAATAAATTCAGCTCGCTGGCTGCTGGTTTTCTTTGTGTCAGCTGTCCCTTTTGCTCATAATTAAATCGTAATCGGGGCACACGAGTGAAAGTATGCCATTCATCCCATTGAGATATTTTCCTCTAATTAGGCATCTAATTGGCAAACACCTTTGATAATTGCACCCGAATAAATAGTGGTTTCTGCAAGAGCCTGAGAGCCGCTTTGTGTCTGTCACGAGTGGAAGGAAGACAAAAGGGCGTCGCTGCCACCGTCGCCACAAGCCGTCTGTCCGACACACAAACACCACAACACCATGCACTGCACTCACACAGACACCCCACTTGCCGCACAGTCGAATTCTCTTCAACTCCTTTTTGATGCGATTACCGTTGTCTCTACTCGCACTTGCAACGTCAACAATTTTTACTTTTCACATTTAAATGCAGTTTTCTTTTCTGTTGGAAACGCATCCGCCATTTGCAAGCAATTTGTATACGTGTGCGTCCCTTGCATGTACGTGTACATGCATACATACATAGATTGGAGTATAGATATATATGTGTGTGGTGTGTGTGTGTGTCAGGTATCGTTGTCGCGTCGGCAATTTTCTTGAGCCATTTTGGCATTCATTTTCCACTGCATTTGATTATTTGAAACATAAAACTTATGATTAGCACCTTTCTTAGGCCAATTGGCTACGACTTACACTTTTTGTATACGTTTAGCTTAAATCTAGAGCCGGAGAAACATTAATGCAGTGTGACCGCGGACTTATTGATAAAATATACCGTCTCTCAGAAATATACCGAAACATACCGTCTTACTTAAAAAATATACCGTGAATATACTGACGAATTCAAGTTCTATTTACATATTCCTCGTTTTTTATCTTCCGTGGAATATTACTAGCTAGATAGAACATTTAGCCATGCCCACATAGTTTTATACGATTGATGAATCAATTTTCTACTTGGTTGGCTTGCTTTAAATACTTGACTTGTTTACCTGCTACGGCAATTGCTCTGATTGTTTTTTCCTCAATTTTGGTGCCTCGTAAGTCGATAGGAAATCGAACTTAACCCCCCTCTATTCTTCTTATACATATATATTCTTCTGAACTTAAAGAAAACCCACGTCACCTGAACTGCGCTAAAAATATTACATTTTCCTTATTTTCGGTGGAATATCAAAATACCCCTTGGCTTACTATGGGCTAATCGATTTAGATATTCCGTGAAATATTACCACTAATCACACAGTATACATATGTATGTATACTATATGGTTAGTGATATTACTAACTAAATAGATCTCTCAGACCTGCCCACATAATTTTATCCAATTAATAAACCTGTTTTCTACTTGACTGGTTTATTATACTCGCTTATATTGGATTTTGCCTAAAAAAAAGGTCAAACAAATAAAACTTAAGAGCGTAATCGTTCCTATTGCTCAATTTTGATACTCCGTTGAATAAGGCTGTCTAACTAAAACCCTCACCCCTGCCCACATAGTTTTATCCCATTGATGAAGATTAAATAATCTGAAGTACTACCCTTTATTTTAATTATACTTAAGCACGGTTTAAACAAAAAAGTCTAACAAAAGAACAGTCGCAATGTTGTCACGTCAATGTAGCTTGTAATTAAAGACTTGTTGCTTAGCTTAAATATGGATTTGATGTTCACCTCATATAATACATATATCCATATAAACATAGTTTTTTTTAAATATACCGCTAAACTACGAACCGGTTAAAACGGGTCGACGCGATTTTTGTTCTCGGCCAATGAAAATCATCAAAAAATAAATGCAAAACATGTTGCTATAGCAACATTTTTTGCAATGGTTTTATGAGAATTTTCATTGGCCGAAAGCAAAAATCGCGTTCCATATTGTGGCAACATTATCATACAACATGCATACCCTAGGGAAAAGGATGTTATAGAATTACGGAAATGTTTGCCATCCCAGGCTACCAGGAATGAAGAAACTTGTCAGACTCGTATTTCAACGATATAAACTAATCAAATGCATGAATACGTCTAAAACATATAAATTTGAGAAAATCATTTTATAAATTACGTTTTAAAACGGTTTGGAAACCAGTATGTCATAAGTTAACGAAATAGGGCTTACAACTTTGTTGTTTAAGCCATGTTTTTTGCAAAATACAATAAAAGGGAATACGCTTACTCTCTTACGTTTTTTTTTGCTTTACCTTTTTCGCTAAAACCTTTTTTTTAACAAAATCCAATAAAAGCCAGTATTTCAAAAAAAAAAAAAAGTAAGATATATCAGAACTTTAATTCGTCAGTATATTTCGGTATATTTTTACAATGAGACGGTATATTTCGGTATAATTTTGAGGGTCGGTCACACTGCCTAGTACACACACGCGAAATAAATGAAAATTTGTGTTTTCTTTTGGGAATAAACGATAATTCAACCAGAAAGCTCCAACTTATTCTCCACAATTCAAGTGCAATGGAGACGCTCCTGGAGCAGCAGCGCCGGTACCATGAAGAACGCGAGCGCCTCGTCAAGTTGATGGTGGACGAGCACGCAACCAAAAAGCCGGGAGAAAAGGAACGCATTCATTCGGAGCACAGGCTGAAATATCTGATGGAACTGCATCATAATGCCACCACACAATTGCGAGACTTGTACGAAGACAAGGACAATGAGAGGAAACAGGAGATTGCGGCCCTATCGGGCCCCAACGAATTCAACGAGTTCTATGCCCGCCTGAAGCAGATCAAGCTGTTCTACAAATCGCATCCGGCCGAAGTGAGTGTCCCGCTGTCCGTGGAGTTTGACGACATGATCAAGATATACAGCAATCCCGATGATATGAGCGCCCTCGTTGAGTTTACCGACGAGGAAGGCGGCGGCCGGTATTTGGATCTGAACGAGTGCTATGAGATCTACCTGAATCTGCGGGCTGTCGAAAAGCTGGACTACATTGCGTACTTAATGTCGTTCGATCATGTGTTTGATATTCCTCGCGAACGGAAGAACCGCGAGTACCGAAAGTACATTGAGACATTAAACGAATACCTGCACAACTTCATTCTACGGATACAGCCCCTGCTGGATCTGGAGGGGGAGCTGGTCAAGGTGGAGCTCGATTTCCAGCGTCAGTGGCTGCAGGGTTCTTTTCCGGGATGGTCGCTCAAAGAGACCGAGTCGGCGCTGGCCAATACGGGAGCTCACCTGGATCTCTCGGCGTTCTCGAGCTGGGAGGAACTGGCCTCCTTGGGTCTAGATCGTCTGAAGTCCGCCCTGGTTGCCCTGGGACTTAAGTGTGGCGGCACTCTGGAAGAGCGTGCCCAACGCTTGTTTTCCACCAAGGGCAAGAGCACACTGGACCCCGCTCTGATGGCCAAGAAGCCAAGCGCCAAAAGTGCCAATGCGCAGACGAAGGAGCACGAGCGCAGCAAAGACATCGCCCAATTGGAAGCGCTGCTCTATAAATACGCCGAACTGCTATCCGAGCAGCGGGCGGCGACCAAGGAGAATGTTCAGCGGAAGCAGGCGCGCACGGGCGGCGAGCGGGACGACAGCGATGTGGAGGCCAGCGAGTCGGACAACGACGACGATCCCGATGCCGATGATGTGCCGTACAACCCCAAAAACTTGCCCCTCGGCTGGGACGGCAAGCCCATTCCCTACTGGCTTTACAAGCTGCATGGCCTGAACATCAGTTACAACTGCGAGATCTGTGGTAACTTCACCTACAAAGGACCCAAGGCATTTCAGCGGCACTTTGCCGAATGGCGACATGCGCACGGCATGCGGTGTCTGGGTATACCCAATACGGCGCATTTCGCGAATGTGACCCAGATTGAGGACGCCATCACGTTGTGGGAGAAACTGAAGTCGCAAAAGCAGAGCGAACGCTGGATAGCCGACCAGGAGGAGGAGTACGAGGACTCCCTGGGCAATGTGGTCAATCGCAAGACATTTGAGGACTTGAAGCGTCAAGGACTGCTTTAGAAAGTATGTAGTTTATACACAATACACACACTGATTCAATGTAACACTTTGATTTAATACACAATTATCAATTGGAAATAACACTCATCTCAATCAAAGATGCGCGCCTGCATTTTCAATCCCACGTTGTCGACTGCGACCAGCGGCAGCAGGGAGACCGTGCCCGATCGCGCTTCCATTTGCTGAGGAGTCTCGGCCTGCAGCCAGGGAAACTCCTGGTACTGGGCCTCCTGGCTAAATTCGACAAAGGCCGTCTGTGTGGTGTGCAGATGCACCTTGAACTGGCAGTTGCCAGGCAGCCTTGGCAACGGCTTGAGGCGTTCGGAAAGCTTGTACAGGGCGGCGCGCAGCTGTTGCTCGTACTCGATCAGGTGCGGATCCTGCGCTGGCTGCCTCGCTGCCTCAGGCTCCAATTGTTCTATCTGTAGCATATAACTTTCAATTGGCGTGTTCTCGCTGTGATACAGAAGGATCTCAAAGCACTTTAGCTCTCGCCGGCAAAGTAGCTCCCGGGCAGATCGCAGAACGCCGGCAAGGTATGTATTTAGCGGGGGATAGATCGATACGAAGATCGGGGTGTTGTAAATGCGTCGCTTCTTGAAGATTTGTGCCGGATATATGCCGCGCACGTACAGAATGTGATTTAGAATCACCTCAAGGGCCTCCAGATGTATATCGTCTGCATATTCTGACTGCATTTGGGAAAGAAAATATTTCGCAACTGAAAATCGATGCTTGCAACTGCGATATATGAATATCGATAGTGCCGCCACTGTTGTGTGGGCCTTTATCGCTGTGGATTTTCACTGCCAGCCGAAGTTTTTGTTCACTTTCTTGAGGAAATAACCCGGACTTATTGATTTTCGGTTGATTTATTTTCACGTTAGGCAGCAAAGTGTTATGTTGGAATGTACTGCTTCCGGCTAAATGATGTCTGGGGCCGGAAAATCTTATTGTCTGAATAATAATCTAATATATTCGGACCCTAGCAATAAGGATACAATGAGGTCGTTGACCTGCCAGGCATACCAATCCAACGTTTTTGTCTAGCTTTCTGATCTTCTTTTGCATATGTACATTTATTCAGCCTTTAGTTTTTATACAGTTAGCTCGGACCCTGTGGATGCGACGACTGCGAAAATACCCTTACAAAAATCGATGCAGGATGATGCATCGGGTTGGTGGGCTTGCAATGGCTGTGTTATTCCGTAACAAGTATGGAGATTTTAGGGTACGGAGCGAGTAATTTGTACTGCCTTACTGCAGTACCGCTAAGTCGAAAACCCCATTTTATTTTTAAATCCAGATAAAATAAAGAATAATAAAAAAAAGTGCAAGTCTGGTAGGGTTGTGTTTCTTTTTGCTTACGATGCATCCAGCGGCAAACTATCGAATGCGCATATTGGCTAGAAGTGCCATCTCTAGCTGAAAAAATGGCTGAAATCCAAGTGTGTGTGTGAACAAAATTTGTATGAGAAAATTTGCGTGTAAAACATATACGAAATATATTTGACTTCTACCGAAAAAGGCGTTCTCCCGTGCCCCATTGTAGATAGTTGAAGCGAGTGTGGAAACGAAAATGCAAGTGTATGATTAACCAATCGGCAAACAAAAAACGAATGATTGATGCCTTCGGCCTCTGCGGACACTGCAATTACAGACGGGCCTCAAAACTCTCTGGGCTCCCTCCTTGGTGAAAAATGAAAATGATGTAGCTGCAAAATCGACAAGAAGAGAGAGGAAGAACCGCAGAGCAGAGAACCGAAGAAATAGCTAGATGAAAATTCAGCGAAAAGAATATCCCCTATATGTAATACAAAACCGACTATTCAAAGTGTACATCTACACATCTATAACCTGATATATACACATACGCAGTTGCATCAGCATGCCTGACCGTGATTCGGTTTCTGATTCCGATGATTCCGGTGATTGCAGCCGTCGCGGAGGCGCTAAAATGAATCAGCAGCAACAACAGCAGCAACAGCAGCCGTCGTGCAGCAAAAGCTCTGCGCCGGATACGAGGAATCGACGCATCATCATGCGCATCGAATTCAATGACTCTGACGACACCGACGACGCCAACCCCAACCCCCCAAACTCTGGCGATGATCCTGACCTTGATGCAAGACCATCCTGCTCGACGGCGTCCTCGCGTTTTCGTCGGAGCACCCGCCGACAGCGACGTCCCCCTGCCACTCAAGATTCCGACTCGGATGCCGTGCAAAGAAGATCCACAAGAATTCGGAAAAACCGCTATGGACCCCAAAGTGACGACTGCTCCTCCAGCGGAAGTGAGGTACACAAATATATCCCCATTACTACTTCTAAGATTACTGCCCCCATTTTTACTGGATTGACTTGACGGTTTGCTAATCCTAATCCTATCCATATTTCAGATCGGACAACGCCCTAAGCGATTGCGTGGTCAAAGCGGCAAGAGGAAAAAGCTAGAGTCCGACGAAGAAGAACCAAGTGACGAAACTGAATCCAAGACGAGACTCAGTCCTGGGCCTGCGGAAGATCCCGGTTTCAGCTCCGACAGCAGCAGCAACGAGCTGTTGGAAAAGTGTCCAATTTGTTTATTTACCTTCCGGCAACAGGAGATCGGCACACCGGCCACATGCGAGCATATATTCTGTGCGCCCTGCATCGAGGCATGGTCGAAGAATGTCCAGACCTGTCCCATCGATCGGATAACCTTCGACAGGATCGTGGTGCGCGACAACTATGCCGATCGCAATGTGGTGCGCGAGTTGCGCGTGGATCTAAGCAAATCAAAAACGGAACTGGCCCTCGAAGACGAGGAAGACGCGGCTGCGACTGTGGCCGATGTGACCAATTGCGAGATCTGTCGCAGTCCGGAGCGAGAGGATGTGATGTTGCTCTGCGACAGCTGCAATCAGGGATATCACATGGACTGCCTGGATCCGCCGCTGGACGAGATACCCGCGGGCTCCTGGTACTGCGACGAGTGCATTGATTCCAACGATGAGAATTCCGATGATAATCTTGACCTGGCCGAGGACCTAAACATGCTGTACGAGGACATCCGGGGCATGGGTCTGCCCGAGACGCGTCTGCGCGTGAGAGAGGTTCAGCAACAGCCAAGGATAGTCCGTACCCGCCAAAACGAACGCATACGCGCTGCTGTTTTGCGTCGCACCCGTGCCGCCACTTCAGCGGACGCCGCGGCCTCCGGCTCCACCACGACCCGTACGCGTACCACCCGTACCACAACCACGACGACAACAACCACACGCACCACCACAAACCGTCGACAAACAACGCAGCGACGAAGGCGCCGCCGCACACGCCATCGCACCTATGTCGTGGAGTACGACCTCAACAACTTTGACGAGAAGTTTGCCCTGAAGACGACCAGCAAGAAGGTCATACGTCGTCGTCGGCGGCGTCGTCGTCGAGTTGTTGCCTCGGCCTCCAGCGATGAACCGGGCCGCCGTCGTCTGACTGCCAGCAAAAGACTAGCGGAGCAGCTCGGCGTCAAGGCGGATGGCCTGCGTTCGTATCTGAGTGGGGGAAATGCCTCTAGCTTCACTCTATTTGGAAATGCCAACGATCTGGAGTACTTCTCGGACAGTGAAGCGGGCCAGGACGAGGCGGCAGCGGGAGCAGGGGCAGGACTGGGCGCTACAGCAGTGCAAACGTCGGTGCGCATTGCCAGCATTGGGAATCCGCGCATACGCAAGGCACTCCTGCAGGGAAAGGCACGCACAGCGGCCACCACGCCATCCTCATCGGCCAGCGATATACTGTCTAGTATTTTGGATCTGCAGGATCGCTGGCATGGAGCAACGCGAAACCTAAGCGAAGTGCAGATCCGTGCCGACGGAAGTCTGACTCTGCCACAACGTGCCGCAGCAGTCACACCAACGCCAGGAGCAGCAGCAGCAGCGGCGCCAGCCCGAGCAGCACCAGCGCCAGCTCCCACTGAAGCAGCCTCCAAGCCACCCGCAGAAGCCATCACCCAGGCACCGCTCTACCAGCGCGGAGGTGCCGGACCCAACTTTAGTCGTGGCGGTGGCGGCGGAGGCGGTGGGTCAGGCAATCGCTATGGAGGCAACAGCAGCTACAACCGAGGTGGCGGCGGAGGCGGCGGTGGAGGTGCGACTGGCAATCAATATCAGCGGCATTCTACTGGCGGTGACAGTGGTGGAGGCGGCACCGGATTCAATCAGAATTTCAACAATAATAACCCCGGCAACAGCAACGTCTCCAGCTTTACGCCCTTTCACCTGCGCTTTAACACGCCCAATCGACAGCAGCAGCAGCAGAGAAACCAGAACCAGAACATGCAGATGCAGCAGCGGCAGCAGCAGCTGGGACCAGGCCCAAACCCTTCCTCGTTCCGTGGCAATGGGCCGAGCCATCCCTCCGCCGTGGCATCACCAGCATCCAATAACTTCTCACAAAGACCTCCCATCTTTCCACTGAGTCATATTGCGGCACCAGTGATGCCCGGTCTGCCTGGTCCAGGTCCCGCTGTGGGTCGTCTTTCAATGCCGGCGGTGCTGACCGTACCACCACCACCGACGCCACCCGCCAGCCTCTCGTGGAACAGTCCCCTCTTCAAGCTGAGCACGGACTATGCCCAGCAGCGGCCAGCAGCAGCGATGACAAGAAAGCCGCTGAGCGGCCGAAAGATGGACAACGATGACGATGCCGACAACTGTCCAAACTTTTCGATCTACTCGCAGGAATCACAGGCGGTGGCCAATGCGACGGCTTTGCCCATTGGGCCACAACCAATGCCTACAGCCGAAGAAGCAGATAAGGTAGGGATCCGCAAGATGGTTCTGTTTTTATTTTAGTTTGAGAAGTGGCATAGGATTTGGAACTAGAATTGCGTCTAGGATTGTTTCTATGTATTCTTTATGGGGGAATTGAAAAAGAACGTTCGACTTTCGTTTGGGTTCAATTGAGATTCCGATTTTCATGTAGATTCAAAGCTCATATGTATGTCTTTTGAGGAAGGGGCATCCTTTCCACGTATCCCTTCAGCTACTAACGCAACCAAATGTTATTCTCTTTTCTTCTCAAACCTCTCTTTAATCCTAAATACCTTCCATGCAGGACGACGATGACGCGAATGAGGATTTAGTACAATTAGACGATGATGATGATGAGGATGAGAATGCTGCAGCAGCGCAGCCGGATAACAGCATACCCTTGCCCCCGGAAAAGGCATCCGATCTGTATGAGCCCGAGAATCCGACAGACGAGCAGGAGGAAGGCGACTCCAACATCGATGGAGAGCCCATGGAGGAGGAGCCCGAGCCCGAGGTCGAGCCCGAGCCCGAGCGCCAGGCAGAGCCAGAACCCGAAACGGAACGAATTTCGAGCAACAGCAACTCAAATCTGGAGCCGACAGTGGATGAAGAAGAGGAGACCAAGGCGCACAGCACTCCCAGTCCCGTTCCCAAGGCGCGGGATGGTGGCAGAGTGGAAAGGGACAGGGGCAAGGGTGTGCTGGAGCTCTATGACGACAGCGATTGGGAGGAGCTGGACATTGACAAGCCCAAAGAGTTTGAAAAGGCGCTGGATGACACTGAAGTGGCTGCCACTGCCGCAGCAGAGGCTCCCCAGGTGGCATCCACCTCTGAGCCAACACCTGCCAAGAAGAAGGACAAGGACGAGGCAGCAAGGAGCAGCAGCGAACGAGAGCCGGATCGTTCCTACACGCCCTGTCTGGATGAAAAAGGAGACGATGACGATGACGAAGACGAAGAGGCCTCTGCAGTGAGCGAAAAGCATCAGATCGAAGCCTCCACTAGTCCCAAGTCACCGTGCTCCAAGTCCAGCGACGACGAAGAGAATGCAGAGCAAGAACCGGCGGAGAACATTGGCACGGAGCTCATTTCCGAGGATGATTTGGCCAATGAGAATGAGGCGAAGCAGAGACGCAGTCGCAGTCGTCGCCGCAGCGAGGGAGGAGCCACAGCCGGCTCCCCCAAGGAGCCACCGAAGGAAAACGAGAGCAAATCCAAACGTTCGAAGCGTGGCAAGGATGAGACCTTCAAGAAAGTGGGCAAGCGGCCCAAAGAGCGCAACTATCGCGGCGACAAGCAGACGGATGAGACACGGCGCAGCGGCTCTCGACGACGCACAAGGACACCGCGAAGGAGTTCGGCGGCGTCCAGGAGTCCCCAGTCGCCCAGAGGATCGCGGAGTCCACCGCAGCCACACAGCCGCAGCCGTAGCCGCAGTCTGAGCAGAAGCCGCAGCCGGAGCCCCATTCGGAGTCGTAACCGACGCAGGCCGCGTGGCAGTCGCTCCAAGTCCTACAGCCGTTCCCGTTCCCGGTCACGCTCGCACTCGAATGGACGCCATGGACGGCCTTTCCGTGGTCGCGACTTCCAACGTGGCGGATTCCAGCGCGGCCGTGGGGGCATGCGCTTCAACTACAACAGGAATCAGCAGCAGTTCCACAATCGGCCATACCAGCATTTCCACAGTCAGGGCCAGAACCATCAGAACCAGCACTATTTCCACAACAACCAGAACAACCAGAACTACCACATGCAGAACCAGAACCAGAATCAGAACTTCTACCAGCGTCCCAAGCGGCGGGAGCTGGCCCGCTACGATGTGCGCAATGTGGTGGGCGCCGGGTCGCGGCATCATGTGCCCACGGCCAAGGATCGCTATGGCCGTGATGCCATGCGGTCGGCCAGGAGTCGTTCCGGCGGCAGCTTTGAGCGCCGTCGCTCCTCCCACAGTCCTGGGTTCTCGCGCAGCGGCTCTCGTGGTGGTGCACCCTCGCGGTCGCGCTCAGCCACGCCCAAGCGGTTGCGCAGCTTCAGTATATCGCCCTCACCGCCGCCGGGCACATCGCCACATCGCAAGCAGCGGCGCCGATCCATGTCGCCGGGACCAGGACGTCGCTATGTGCGTTCCCCTTCGGTCTCGCCACCACCCAAGCAGCGACGGGATTCGCCGCCAATGCATCCGATGCATGTGATGGATCGTGGGCACAGCCCCATTTCGCTAAGATCTGGATCCCACACACCGACGCGAGTCAATGGAGGCCGTAATCTGGCCCCCCCTCCGGTGTACCATAATTCGCCGCGCTATACGCCCCGATTGAGTCGCAGTCGGACGCGTTCCAAGAGTCCCAAGGCGGTGCCCAAGAAGAAAAAGAAGAAATCGGACAAGAAAAAGAAGAACAAGAAGCGAACGGCCAGCACTAGTCCGACAACGGCCGCCCGCATGAGGCGCATCTCGCGACAACGCGATCCTTTCGAGGATGCCGATGATTTCCTGGCGCCCCAAAAGAAGCGACGCCACTCGCCGCCCATCAGCAAGGGAGTGCCAGCCGGCCACTGGTCGCCATCGCCCAGCCTCTCCGATGATCATATGAAGTTCATTCACGATGGTGGGGATAAGAACTCCTCGTGGACACCGCCTCTTGGCTCGCCCAAGGGCCTGCCCGGTCACTATGCGGATGATGGGCGACGCAGTGCCACGCCCTTGGGCCTGGGTAAGAAGGCGAAACGGAAGCGGGACAAGAGCAAAAAGAAAAAGAAGCCCATCGACAAGCTGCAGCGCAAGGAGAAGAAGAACCGCAAGCGTCGCACCCAGACACCGGAGCCCATCCCCTCGAAGGAGGTCTTTGCCTCTGGGAACAACATCCTCGTGAGCGTTAGCTTCAACAAGGAGCCAGCCAGCGGTACGAATGCCAGTTCCTTGCAGCAGCAGCAACAGCAACAGACGGTGGTGACCATGCCGGCACTGCGGCATGATGATCTTCTAGCGAATCGTTTGACCGGCTCCTCCATGGACCGACTGCTAAGCAACGCCAGCGCGAAGCCAAAGCTAAAGAAGGACAAGACCCGCAAGCGCAAAAAGTTGGACGCCAAACCGGTGGCCATCATTGATCTGGAACGCTCGCCCTTCCAAGTGCATCAAGAGCCAGCGGATGTGATTGTGCTCACGGACAGCGAAGATGCCAACGAGGCGCCGCCGTCGCATCCGATGCGCAGGGACAGGGAGAGCAGGGAACAGCAGCAGCAGCAGGATCAGCAGCAGCAGCAGCGTGAGCGGCATCAGAGGCGACGCGGCAGCGGCGTGGCCTCACCGGCGGAGCACCACGATCTGATGCGGGAGAACGGTCAGCGGGAGAAGACGCCACAGGTCGATTCGCTGGCCACGATTATGGAGACCTCCTCGTACGAGGCGGTGCAGCAGACGACAGGCCCCAAGACCCCGCCAGAGCCACCAATTGTCAAGTTCAATCTACCTGCCAAGAAACAGCACAAAGTGCGTAGCAATCCCCTGCACGAGGATACCGATGACATCAATTCTGCGGACGAGCTGGAGGCCGCCTGCTCCTCCAGGGAGCTGCCCGGGGCTGGCATTGACGACCACGACAATGATGATGGACAGCAACAGCAGCAGCATCAGCAGCAGCAGCCGCATGGCCTCAGTCACGAGAGCGGCACACAGAAGATCGGTCCGAATACGCCGCCAGAGTCCGGACCCTGCTCACCGGATGCCTACGATCCGTTTGAGCCGACCAAGTCGCCCTCGCTGTCGCCCCGATCACCGACGCCCACACCTACACAGAACCTGGAGCAGGCGCTACCGAATAGCTCAGGCTCTGGAGGACCAGGGGATAAATCCGACAGCGATAGCCACAGCCACAGCCACAGCCTGGCCCCGGCAGCTGTGTCGAACAGCACTGGGACGCAGACGCAGACTCAGACACAGACAAGTGGTGTCATCAATCCCGTGGATCTGGTGATGGCGCTGATGAACAAGCCGAACCAAAGTACCACTGCCAGCCAGCAGCAGGAGAAGGCCGGCGGCAAAGCATGCGACGTTGTAACCTCCACGCAGTATCTCGGCAGCAGCAGTTCCATGTCTGCGGGAGTCGTCGGATCGAGTGCCGGCGGAATCGGCGGCGGCGGTGACGGCGGAGGCCACGACAAAACGATGGCCGAGAGTAATGCCATCACGGTCCTCTCCAATGTGCTGCTCTCGGGCAGCAGCGTGGTGTCCAGCTCCCAGCATATACCGGTGATTTCTAGTCCAACGCCGCTGCCGAAGAAGCTCACTCCGCTGCCGAAGGCGGGCGGTGGGAGCACTGCCAGCAGCAGCAGCTGTGGCCTCGCAAATCTGCCCACCACCAGCTCTGGCCTGCGCAACGGCGGCGGCAGCGGCAATGCGGCGGGTGCGACGGTCAGTGCACTGGACGACTCCTTTAACATGGATATCGAGAGTCCATATTCTCCAGGATCGGCGGACTATGAGGATCTGTTTGAGCCGCCGCCGCAACAACGCTCGAAGGCGGGCGGTGGCGGTGGCGGTGCCAAGACGGAGATGTTTGACAATCTCTTTGGCAGCACCTCCCCAGTGGGCAATATGGCCAGGATGTCGCGCTTCAAGAAATCCCAGAGGGGTAATAACAAAGGCGATCGTAAATCTAGAAAAGGTTTGTTGTGTGCAGATATTATAGAATCCAAAATCCTTGCCGCTTTCCAAACTAATGAGAACTTTTTCGGGGGTGCCACGTATGGAACGGCCATATGTGGCACCCTCGTTAGTGACTTAAACCGTCGATTGCGATTAATTTCGCAAACTAAAGAGCAGCTAAAGCTTTAGCAGTGGACCAAGCAACATTTTTAAGACGAAACTACAGTACAATTTTTCGTAAAAGGTCTTGGAAACGAGCGCGATGACTAAAGTCTTGCTAAAAGTTCCCACACGGACTCGGAAAAGAGCTCGTAAAACCGAGTGATATAAAAGATTCGAAAACGAATTTTCTACGTTCTATCATTCCTTGTTCCTTGTCGTTTTCGTATCTCGATAGTTTTACAGCTTCAAGTCTTACGAATTGTTGGTCCACCGCAAGTTAGCGTTTCCCAATCGGCGGTTTAGCACACAGAGCAGACAATTTGTGATCATTCCGATCTGAAATATAACTAATATTTTCCTTAACTTTTCTTGTAGGTGGCAAATCATCAGACGACCACAAGGCGGCATACGACGATCTACCCAATTCGGCAACGGATCTGCAAAATAAGGATAGAGTGAGTCAATGTCAAGCACTCAACGCTGAACAGTCGACATATCATCAATTTGTTTGTATTTTCATTTGCAGTTTTTGCGTAAGCTGAACCGACAGGAACGTGTCGTTGAGGAAGTGAAATTGGTATTGAAGCCGCACTTTAACAAGAAGGTGATTACCAAGGAGGATTACAAGGACATAATGCGAAGGGCTGTGCCAAAGGTTGGAGAAAACTGCTACAACATAAATGAAGGAAGAACAATATTTATATTCAATTTTTTGTTCAATATATTTCTGCAGATCTGTCACAGTCGGTCGGGTGAAATTAATCCACACAAGATTAAAAATCTAATCGATGCCTATGTGAGGAAGTTCCGCGCGAAGCACAAGAAGTTGAGTCTCCTCAACACGGGGCAGGTTAGCAGCGCCGTCAAGTGTGCCGCCTATTTAAAGAAGCTATAAGCAGAGACCCAGAGCGCAATCGAGCAGCGTCTTGGATGTGGCAGTAAGTATCCGTAGTCTGTACAAAATCGAACCAGAATCGAATTTGCTAATGGTTTATTTTCATAGCATTTTTTGGGTGGATTGAACGAAACGAAACAGTTTAGCGGTCGCATGCATTCCTACACTCTACCATCAACAAAATATTCACCGGCCGCACTCGCGAAATGAAAAGAAGGAAAGAAAGAGAAACAACCACTCATAAATGGTCATTTATGTACTATTGGAATTTAGTTGTTAAGTCAATTTTAGGTCACCTTACGAATGATTTTTAAGCGCATAAGCGAACATACATACACTGAACACTGAAATGAAGATATTTAAACATTAAGCAAAGCCTCCCCCAATATTTCGTTTCGCCCCAAACTAAAGGCAGTTTATTTATACAAGAAATGCAAGCAAGATTTAGTTGATTAGATTGTTTATTATATAGAATGACACTTGTAATGATATAACTATTACCTGTTTTTTGCATCAACGCGATTGTAAAGTAGTGGCACGGATGAAGTGTGTCAGATATATTGTATTTTACCTCTGATAATTTAAATAATTAAGTTTAAAGCAAATTAAAAAAGCATAATTAGTACGGCCATGCATTACACCGGACAAACCGCCCACCCATTCATTGACATGGCACAAAAGCGAACCACTGTGTTCAGGTGTGGCTTGGGTTTATCCGGTTATGGGTGTATTTTATTTTTGATCGTTATATAAACAATTGTAATTATGTATTCATATAGATCACCTAAATAAATAGCTGTGTGTACTCCTCCCGTTCCGTTTGGTGTGTGCAGTTTTGATTTACGAAAGTTTCTAATCAAAGCACATGGTAGTCTGTCAGTCATCGTTTATTGAATAGAGAGAGTGTACGTTACGGTACGAGTACTCGTATGCATTAAACACACACACACACACACACACACAATTGATAAGCGTATGAATATTATACATATATCATAATAATTGTGCTAAATCGTTTTGTAAATATCCATATAATTGAAAATAAACGCGATCATTAACTAATCCAATTTATGACACGTCTTTAAATGTCCTCCCTCGCTGTTGTGGGTCTTAGAAACTTGTCGAATTGTCAGTAAATAAACTCCTTCATAAGAGCTGCGCCCCCATAAGGGAACGCCCTTGCTCACGACTGTTTCTACTGTTCTAGGAAGTTATAGTCGAGCTGAAAATAAAGTGCAGACATAGTTTTCATATGATTCCTAAAATAACTTAAATAATTAAACTGAAGAACTTTGGAATGGGCTTTCTTCTGGGCTAGACCCTTCAATCAGTATTCTCTCCTTCTCTATAAATAAACTAATAAACCATTAGTTTCAAGAGTTTTCAGTATTCCATTTCCATTATAATCCACTTACTACGAAGCCTTTGCTTTCCCAATAAGAACCGACTTGGAATATGATTCCATATGGGTGAGATTTCAATAATTCTACTAAACCAATACACACGATTTCTGTTTTAAGCTGCTTACATCATGCATCACAATAACAATGAAACTGGAGAGCAGTGGAACTGTGAAAAGGGTGGTTCCCCCTTTAAATGTGGGCATAGAAACACATTACTTATCAGTCTTCACTTTCAAGAAGGGAGTTTCCCTTTCCTCCAATAAAAACAAACATAATTTATATATAGCTTTTTGTTATTGTTTTTTTTTTGGTAAAGTTTATTAGTTTTGTTCTTTGTGTTCGGCTTTGTTTATATTTAAATGTATGTATGTATAAAGTATGTATACTCGTATATAATAAATATTTAGGCAAATTTTATATAAATTTTCATCAAAAAAGGTGATAGTATCTAATTTTAGATATTCTCAGATGAAGTTCGCCAAATTTTGTTCCCAATCGGTTGTTCACTCTCCAATGATGCATGGACGAATCCCTGGGTAACAAATGTGGGGGCTATGCGTGTGTGCGGAGGGGGAATACGGATACTGATACTGCATTTCAAAAGCGGATTAAACCATTGCAATAGTATATTCCAATAATACATATATTCCAACTCGAATTCGTCTATCGAGACTTTTGATTTCGCTTACATATCAAAGCCCTATCATAACTTTTAAGTTGTACGATCGTACCAAACAAAATTGTGCTAAATCTCAATGTAAATAAGCAAATATTCGTATCGTAATACATAAAAATAAATGTGTGCTAACAAAAAAGTATCCTAAAAAAGCACTTTGTTTGATTTTCATAATCTTTAAGTTCTCAGAAATCTCAGAGGATCGTAGCACAAAGTTATTGATAACAAGAGAGGCAATGACAGATGCAGATGGTAATGGATTCTTCCTTAAGTTGGGGCGTGGCGTTTTTTGTGGCTATACGTTTACTTAATTTCAAGTTTGGTTAGATTACGATTTATGATTTTCGGGATCTGTATATTAAATGCCAGAGCTTATTTATTGAATGAGCATGGGAGCAAACAGATTTTGGCTTTCAGTGCTGTCTGCCCGGTGTCATGATGTATTGTGCGATTCGATGCCAATGGAGGCATTTACCAGAAGCCGGAAGACTTGCCGCCAGGTGGGTTCTTCACCTTGATGCAGGCCCTCACGCCACCTCTATCAAGTTCCTCTATAGAAAAGGATATGCATTAGTTCAGTGTTCATAATGTTTCTAAGAAAATAAACCACCAAACTCACCGCTGATCGAAAAGGATGACTGTTGCATATCGTGCTTGCCATCGACACGCCCACGCACCGAGGGCGTGCTGCACATCGAACCCTCCGCTGGCATGGCCAAGTTGCCAGCCAGCATGGCGCTAATTGGCTCTTGAATGGGTATCTGGATGTCCAGTTCGGCAAACTTCTTGGCCACACTGTTGCCGCCACCATTCTGCCGCTCCTCGGGATGGTCCTCCTGCACCGCCGACTGCACTTTGCCCTCGATAATGTCATAGACAAAAGGCGGACGCACTGGAGTAGGGATGAAACGGCCAAAGCCCTCCGCCACACGCACCTGTCCCCGTTCGGCACAGATGCGGCCTCGCACTAGCACAAACTCGCAGACACCGTGAACGGTCATGCCCTCAAAGATATTAAAGTCACAGGCCTGATGGTGCGTGTCCTTCGAAATGGTACGCGTGGCATTCGGATTCCAGATCACAATATCCGCATCCGATCCAACAGCTGAGGAGAAAGAAATTATATATAACTACGATAATTCATAATAATGATTATGCTTACCAATGCGTCCCTTTTGGGGATAAATGTTGAAGATCTTGGCCGCATTCGTGCTGGTCACGGCCACAAAACGGCAGGGATCGAGTAGTCCCGCCTGCACACCCTTCTCCCACACCAAGGACATGCGATCCTCCACACCATTGACGCCATTCGGTATCTTGGTGAAGTCTCCCTTTCCCTTTGCCTTGTGCTCCTTGTTGAACGTGCAGTTGTCGCTGCCCGTCAGCTGCAGATCATCGCTGCGAGGGCGCCAGATGAAGAGATTATTAGCAAGGGATTCGATTCTTTTACAGAATCATGAATTAAACGAAACGAACCGAAACGAAACGAAACAAAGCGAATGACACCCAAAAGGGAATGTAACAAAGGTTAACACTTACTACGCCAATGACTTCATGAGCTGCCTTGGCGTTTCGGCAGACTCGCGTATCGGCGGACTGGTGATGTAGTAGATGCGCTCCGCCTTCGACACGCCGCTCATCGAACGGCCAATGGAGCTGGCCAGCGTCTCGCCAAAGACACAGTAGCCACTGCGTCGGGCACGGCCGACAAGCTCGGCGGAGGATTTACTGGTCAGGCCGGACACAAAGAGCGGCGTTTTCATCTAAGCGAGCGAACGATTTGGAGTTATTGTGAGTGGAAGCATAAACATAGATTATCAGCGTGGTGCAACAGGCGGCCATTAGCAGTTAGTATGAGCTAGGGGCAGGCATGAGCACAGTATCCCAGTTAGTTAGTAGGCGTTAATCAGCAGCATCAGGTTAGAGACATGCTAAACCCCAGAGTCGAGTCGAGCTGCAGAACTTACTTCGCCAGGAGCTTCATCAAGAATTCTCGTGTCGTCGGATCGGGCCTCAATGGTGGGCTGAGCACATGCGCCGCCTCATGTTCGAAGCCCATATGGAAGCAACATGTGGCATCAGTACCCAAAGCGGCGGCCAGGGTCTCTCCCATTATGTATCGGCCTCTATACCGCTGACGGGCTCTGGCCAGCTCAATGCCCGCCGATTTGCTCATCACATGAACCACATACAGCGGGCAATCGGACTTTTAGGGCACCATCATATCGGATATAGATACATTCGTATTATATGTATGTTGGTAGGGGTTATATCGTGTGTGCCGCATACCGCATACCGCATAATATGTACAAGAGTGCATCATGCACAATGGGTAAGAAATAATAACAAAATTAAAAGAATATACAGCGTAGATAAATGTATAATTACAGTTCCGCGTCGTACAGGAACTGTACAACTCTTTTGCTATACACCGCCCTCTCTCAATGGTTTAACAAACGACTTGGGAGTGTCTTACCTGGTGGGCCAGAACGCAGGCGCGATGCACCGCCTCGGCCTCCACCTCCTCTGGTCGCGAAAGTTCATGGCCTTCCGGTCCATTAATGCCTTCGGCCAGCAGACGTTGCGTATTCTTTGCGATAATGTCGCCGTTTTCCGCATGCACCTGTTGAAAGGGAGGATGTGGAGAGAGGTTGCCGTAAAAGTGCATTCGATATCGATATCTTACCATAGCCACGCCATTCAACTGGCGAATACGCTCAAACACATCCAACAGGTCTGAATCGTTTAGCTACAAAATGTAATACACAATTATAGAAACGCAATGAGAAATGTTATAGATTGAAACCACAACCCACCTGATAGAGACCCTTGTAGGCCATGAATGTTTTGAAGGAATTGACACCCAGCTCTTTGCACAGAATACCCAGCTCCTCGGAGACCGACTTGGACCACCAGGTGATGCCCACGTGGAGGCCATAGTCGCAACAGACCTTGGGATCGGCCCAGCTGCGCCACTTGTCGTAGGCCTCAATCATCGATTCATGTTTATTGGGTAGCACAAAGTCGACTGAGCAAACATCGAAATTGGTTATCTCCTTCGTGTCACCCACGGATCAAAAGGTAAGCAACTTACTTATCATGGTAGTGCCCCCAGCAACGGCTGCCTTGGTTCCACTATAGAAATCATCGACAGCCACAGCCCCGCCGAAAGGCAGCTGCATGTGCGTATGGGGATCGATGCCACCGGGTATGATTAGGAGTCCACTGGCGTCAATAGTACGCACGCCGCCGGGTATCGTAATCTCCGAAGGGGGTCCCACAAACCTACACAATCATAAGGATGAATTTTAGTGTGAATTTCATTGATTAAATTATGGCACCACACATACTTGATAATTCCATCCTCAATGTAGACGTCCGCCTTGAACGATTTATCATGGTTGACGATCTCGCCTGCAACGAAAATAAGAACGTCTAGAAAACACACCCTGTTCTGGATTCGTATGATGACCTTACCATTCTTGATGTAAACACGATTGGCAGCGCTCTGCAAGTGAATCGGTACCTTCTTAACCGGTTTTGGACTGGTCGACATGGTGAGAGTCTGCAATGGAAAGCGTTCGTTCGGTTATGAGTGTTTTATGAGCGAAGGCGAAGATAAACACAATACACAATAATGCTGGGGAGGATTTCCCACAAACACAACACATACAGCGCAGCACAGAAGCTGCCAGGGGGCAGGGCAGGGCAGGGCAGGGCACTCATTCATTCATTTATTCATTCAAATAGGGTGGTTCCTCTGGTTCTTGTGGTTGCCCGATGATGAGTCATAGGCCTCTGATTCAATGCTGTGGGGTAGGGTGGGGGGTTGGGTACCAGGACTGGCGCCCAGACACGTGCCGAGCATTAAACTTCTGCACCTTATGCGTCACTCCAGACTATCTCTGCAACTCCCTCACTCAATCTGTGTAGTCTATGGTGTGCAACTGATTATGATGATGCACACACACACTGCACAGCACAGCACAGCACAGCACCCAAAATGTCAATGCAGCTCGTTCGTTGTCTGTTCAACAGATTGTTTCCCCCTTTTTAGTTCCGTTGTTTGCCACACAACTTGCAGCCGAACACAATATGGTAACTGCATAAGAGGCTACACGGAATATCAATGTTGCAACTAAGCTTTTACAAGTGCTACGCTGTGCCGCGCTGCGCGCTTCCACTGAGTCCATCTCCGACGACGACAGCCAGTCATCCAACCAGACCAGCGCGGCCATTAACCTTTGTTAGTTGTTACGTAGGGGCCTCTACTTTGGTCCCCTTCCCGCTTCTTTCAAGTGTTGATGTACTACGACTACGCCCTCGTCAACCGCACACAAACACAGCCAGACCCTAACTTGGCTGGAAGTGGCATTGACGATAGCCCAACGCCGCTAAGAAGTTCAAATTGTGCCACATGAAGAACACAACGAACAAACTACAAAAAGAGAGTGGTGCCGTTCTGTGCTGCAGGAAATGTTTGTTATGGCGCATTGAATACAGCCTACAGTGGTGGTCAATGAAGTAGGGGCCTCTAATAGTAGGGAAAGGGTGCTTCGAATTAATGGTTTAATTTAGCATATTTGAATGGTAAACGATATACTACAGTGAAAGCACCACTTTGGGAAGGCACCCCTAGTTTCAGTCATTTTATGCGGACAAGGAAGATGTCCGTCTATAACGAATGCCTAAAGCAGCTGCATTAAATGGGGTAAGGTGCAGATGCAGGTGCAGAGAATATCATGTGTGATTAGCTAGGTTCAAATGTACTCCCCTTGCTCGTAAATACTCAGCTCGAGAATAGTACCTAAACAACATTCTTGGCGTGTACATGACTCGGGACATCGATGGTGTGGTTTTGTGGTTGCTACCAATACTTAAAAAAGCCAGTTCAAATAAGTCTTTTGCAGTTTCAATAGCCAGGAGTAGGTTCCACAAATGTACTCCCTGCTGTATCTACTCTTCTGTTATGGTAATGATTATTGGGGTGCATGACGTGTTTGAAGAATACCCGTACATAAATATGTAGCAGCTACATTTCATTCATTCAATTTAAGTTCTGGCCGGTGTCAGTCAGTATTGGATTAAGTGAACACTTTCCTATGGCAGCACATCCGAAATAAACAGAGCTTCACTATGTAGAGACAATACATATGTCCATACATACATACATGCATATGTGAATGCAATGAACTAGATTATTTGTCAGCATACAAGTGCGCAAAGTACATAATGTAATTAATGCAGCCGTATTAACGTAGAGGAAATTGTGCACAGACGCGGTCTGTGGCAGAATTTGTAGGTCGCTAGTGCACTTTGGCACTTTTAATTTGTAAATGTGCCGACCAAATACATGACAAAAACAAGAAAGAAAGGGTGGAGACCCTATATACCCAGTTTAGGTTTTAGGTTATTTTTATTTTATTTGGAGACAAACAAGCTATTCTGATTTCAGTGTCAGTTAAACTAGAATAAAACCTCTAATAGGGACTGAGGGTACTTGTACTTGTACTCTACTAAAAGGACTGCCTTGAAGGGGTATAAATAGATACACATGTATGTATGTATGTAAGTACACACAAGTATGAACCTCTAATTTTCGTATAGTCAAAATATATTCATAGGCCGGTTTTTCGCCAGTCAGCAAAACTAGTTACAAATTGTCAGGATTCCCTAGCCTCAAGCCCAAGTTTGATGAACTTTGCAAAAACAATCGCATCTCATTCGTATGCTGAATAAAATCAATGACCATTTATTTCTACCAGTCGTCATCTAACGAGTATTAATGCCCCCCCAACATCGCTTATATCTCTGGGCGGCTTCTGTTTGTTATTAAATCGATAAAATACAAAAAAGGAAGGCCTGCAATGCAAGGCTAAAAAGGCAGCAAAAAGGCGATAAGACCTGTACCTGTATCTGGTGTACCCACCCATCGGATGAGACAAACAGACAAACGGGGCGAGACAATCGGATCGCATCAGGCGATGTGTTCATTGCACTTGATTAGTGGATTGATAAATACATTTGTACGAGCATTTAAGTACACCTGTCTGTACATATTAGGCTTAAGAAATGTAGTCATGCAATTATAATGGTATTTTGCTTGGAGAAGCACACGTATTTGTTGTACTTTCTAAAAATGCTTCTGAAAATTGTATCCACCGGTAACAAATATTGGTGTACAAAGATCTGTTTGATGTATGTATGCTATTAAATTTGAAAATAGAACAGATATTTGAAAAAATACCCACGCATTGCGCATAAGTATACACACACGAACACACACTCGTATACGGGTCGGAAAAACAAATGCAAAACAGAAAATAAACGAAAAAGTGTCTGCTGTTTTCCTTCAAATTAAATCCAATTTGTTTTGGTCTGGGGAATTACCGTAAAATGGGTACAATCTCACGCGATTTTCTTAGATGAACGCCTTAATTTAAACGTATTTAATATACACGCACGCACACCTTCTCTTCGGAAAATCAAAAAACATCTAACGGATTTCTTTGCTCAGCAGCGGATTTAACGACCCTCAGAAATATACCAAAATATACCGTATCATTTTAAAAATATACCGTAAATATACTGACGAAGTTGAGTTCTGTTATACATATTCCTCGATTTTGATATTCCGTGGAATATTATTAGCTAGATGGAACCTTTAGCCATGTCATCATAATTTTATACGATTGATGAATCAATTTTCTACTTGACTGGCACATTAAATACTTGGCCCTTGATTGTTTTTGCCTTAATTTTTGTTGCTCAACAACAATATAGCGACTCGTATGATGGAAACCCGAGCTTAGCCCACTTAAGCCCCCTATATTTAAATAGTTCAACTACTCAAGGTAAATGGCGGAAAATATTAACAATTGTACATTCTTATAGATCCATCCTATCCTTCCCTTTAACTTGCCAAACCCCACGAATCTTTCATATGAACTGCGCTAAAATGATTACCCCCTTGGCTTATAATAGGTTAATAGTTCTCCGGCAAGCATTGAAACCATATTGCTTAATTTTGATGTTCCGTCAAATATAATAAGCTACATAGAACAGTTAGCCATGCCCACATAATTTTATCCCATTGATGAATAAATTTTCTACTTAACTGGCTTATTCTAAATACTTGCTTTTATTGTATTTATTGTAAATAGTTCAAAAAAAAAAACAGTCGCTATGTTGCGTGTAAGCCCTAGTCTAGGCCTTTGTATACCCTAATAATACCCCAATAATAGTTATTCAATAAAAATCAAGAATAACAATTATAATAATAGTTATTCGATAAAAATCCAGAATAACAAGAAAAAGTCTTCTTTGGAGTGATGGTGCCCGTTCTAAACTGGGCTTAAAAAAAATAAACGCGGCCTTAAGTATCGTCCTGCAAAGGACTGTGGATATGGGCCTAGCAGACAACCTAATGGCTGTTGTCTGCGATGGTTGCCCAGCCAATGGGCTAGCCGTCTCAAATGCCAATTGGAACTTTCCAGCTTTGTGGGATTTCCCCCATCTAGATAGGATTTTTTACAACAGCAAAAAAGCGCCCTTCTCCGATATCATTCTTGGAAATTTATACAATTCGAGCTTCACGCCAACGAATTGGAGGGACGTCTTTGATAATTTGCCAGATTATCACCCAATAGTCCCCACGGAGTATCATGATTATTATACAACAGAGCTATTCAACATCAGAATGATGGTTGACAAATTTTGTTTGGTTCCGCGCGCAACCCCATTGGAGCTAAGGGACATAAATTCCAATAAGCTCGAAGCAATGGGTTTCATCATTAAAAGGCTTGCGGCGGACATTGTAGATTATGCATCCCACATTAGCCAGCCTAATGAATTTCAAGAGGATGCACTCTATTTTATAGCCCGCTTAGTCGGCACTCTAGCTCTATTAGCTCAAGGAACCGCGTAGAAAATCTCTTTTTCAAAGTTTTACTTAATTTGCAAGTTGGCTGGAAGCCCTAGGTCCTGTCGAAGTACAAATTCGACGATTAATATTACATTTATTGTTAATAACTTCATACTTTCAGGCACCCCGACGATCGATGCCCCGCCCTAAAAGTAAATATAGTGGATTAGGCCTATTGGGGATACCACTTAAAAAAAAACGCGCCAAAAACTCGACCTCTTGGGTGGTGTGGAATGAGTTTATTACCATAAATAAATAAATCCGGTCCCGCAAGATTGCTGAAAGCGTTGGCCAGCTCAACCTTTAACTGAGCTCCGACGTAGCTCTATCTGGTCCGACGTACACGGATCCCTATGCCTCTCCGACCATACTCCGCTAAAAACTTGACTGCTGTTTCGGTAACGGGATAGCCAGATGCTAGCAACTTCGCCATAAAAGCAGGATTTGCCTCAGGGAATATATGTAGAAGGCTTAACTTCTTCCGTGCTTATTTGTTTCGGTTTTGTTTCCTTGTCCGCGTACTTTGCAAAGGCGTAGAAGGTTACCGGAGAAAATAACTTTCCCAATCTGTCAATGGTCGAGAATTAGCCAAAAATTTGTCATACAATTGGTGGTACTTATACTTACTTTGCCTATTCATGCTGAAACTCTTCGGGCGAATCATCCTCTTCCGCTTTTGGCATACTGAGCAACTTGTCCTTCGTTCGTTGGGGACAAGCGCGTACCTTAAACTGGTGTCGCCTTCGGACCTTGGGTCCTTGTAGAAGGCATTATGGTAGTAGTAGCCTGGCATACTCATCCATAGTCTTTCGCTCCATCTTCATCCGCAGCTTGGTCGCGTTGCACCTCATATGGCATAGCCGGCAGGTTCTCTATTGCATTTTTAAAGTCTTTAATTTCTAAGCGGTCTAGCGGTCTTAAGTCTAGTTACTTAATTTCTTCGATGGAGCCATTAAAGCTCGATTTTTGGTTCGGTGCGCGAAAATATCCGAGGCACGGCCATCGCAGAGCAGGGCGGCCGATGCAAAGCTGTGGGAAGGTGGAGTAGAATATTGTTAGTTTAAGAATTTGGGCACTCACCTGGTTGATGGGACACTGAAACTCTCAGGTCGCTTGCAGCAGTCGGCCTCATCGTGGACATTGTCACAGTTGTCACTGGTGGTACCATCGCAGATCAGAGTCTTGTCTCTGCCCTCGGTTGACTGTCAGCTGAACTGATCCGCCGGGCAGTCCTTTCGTCACAGCGCCAGAAGGCGGATATACAGTCGTTCTTTATGTCACTACTCCCGACACTTAAAATTATCTGTCCGGATAGACGCCGTAGTTCTCCTTGCCCTCCAGTAGCATCAGAGCATCAGAATCTGGCACGAGCATACGTCGTGAATACTGCGTGTCATACCCCGCTGGCCATGCAGATGTGGAAACACTTTGTGCGACTGTGCAGACAGGTGTGATTGCGCTCCTCTCCAGTCCGGTCTTATCGTCCGACACAAATCTCCCGAAGGCAGAGACCTGCGAGATGTGCATGGAAGCACGGATTTTTCTGTAAAGGGGGAACAGGAGATTACAAGTGTCCAAAGGTGTCCAATATTGGTTGCTTACTAACATCGATACGCATGGGATATCGGACTGTTGGTCTGACTTCTTCCAGGTCCACATGCTCATTGCCATCGACTCGGGCCCGAATGATGGCCTGATGGCTGCTGACATCTGTCCAGAAGAGCAGACGCTTCGAGGCTTCGGCGAGTTCGCCCAGGAAGCTATAAGAGGCAACGTTTTAGAACACAGCTGAATAGGGAGAGAGAGCTCCACCTGGGCACGGATAATCTTGCCGGACACCGGCAGCAGCTAATTCGGGCAGTCTGTCGTAGCTGGGAGGGATGCAGGCCACGTCCTTAGCGAGGCTGCGGCTCTGGCCAGTCTTGATCAAAGTCCCCGGTGCTCCAGTCGCTCCAGTACACGTAGTCCTGATACAGGGAAACCGCGTGGCGCTGCTTATGGAGTCCGAGGCGACTCTGTTCAAGTACATGCACCCGCGACGCGTCTCGAGGACGGGGGAACGCGGCTTCTCCACCCCCCTTCCACAAAGCACGACGGCTGCCATCCACGCGGGTGATCTCGATGAGATGAGCCTCCGCATCGGACCGACGCGAGAACATGCCCCATTCCCCACGTCTTTCCATCGCACCAGACGCCAGAATCCTGAAGAACCCGGTGTCCAGATGCCGTCCAGGGTCTGTTCTTTTTCCTCCTTTTTCAATTGTTTTCCTATGAAATTCGTCTTCTGGTGGCTGAGGCAGGGAGTAGTGGGCCACAACTGCGCCAAAGGGCGCCGCTGGTCGTTTCGGCATCGCTGCAGACTCTGTGGCTCGACTTTAACTGTAAATGCGAAGAAGGTGGAAAGCACGGAATAGCCGAGGAACTGCGGTTGTTTTTGGGAGTGCCCTCTGACAGGATTTACTGTTATTCGAAGCCACTGTAGGCAGACGCACAAGGCACTTTTGCTCATACAACAGTAGCATAAACAAACGAGTATCGTTCCAATTGCTCAATTTCTTTATTCCGTTGAATATTACTGGCTCGATAGAACATTTAGCCATGCCCACATAATTTTATCCGAATAATTAAACTATTCTCAACTTGACTGGCTTATTTTAAACACTTGTTTTTATTGCATTTTGCGTAAAAAGCGGTTTTAGCGAAACAAGTCAAACAAAAAGCAAGTAGCGAAATAGGTTAATCAAAACAAACGAAAAGGGAAATTCGTTCATATTGCTCAATTTTGATATTCCATTGAATAATGCTGGCAAACTAAATCTTTCAGCAATGCCCACATAATTTTATCCCATTGATGAATAAATTTTCTACACGATTGGATAGTTTTTAATCCCTGCTTTTATTGGATTTTGTGTAAAAAGAGGTTTGAACGGAAAAGTTCGACAAAAAAAGAGTCACTGTGATGCGTTTAGGCCTTGGAATACCCTATTTTGTTAATTTTATATGAAGATGAAACGTGATTTATAAAGAAATTTTCTCAAATTGATATTCCTTAGAAATATTCATGTACATTATTAGTATCTTGTATATATTTATGTCGATCCTGATACCTACTAAGCCTTGGAAGACAAACGTATTCACAGTTCTATAACATCCATTTCCCCCAGGGTATGTGTGCATGGAGTTAGCAACATTTGTGCATGGAATGCGCAACATTTGTGTATGGAATGGGACTCATTGTTGCAATAGCGAAACTGCGGCGAATCGGGTATTGCCTATATTTCAAGCTATATAGATTTGCCCACTTAGCATTATTCCATAGATAAATGCATTTTCTACAAGATTGCTTCTTTTAATTACCTTTATGTATTTTATTTTGACCAAAAAACGGTTTTCAAGTAAATGTTGCCGCAACTTTTGTGTATGGAATGCGCAACATTTGTGTATGGAATGAGACTCATTGTTGCCAAAGCGAATTGCGACGAAATGCGGCGAACTGCGGCTGGACACGTTTTTAAAGCTATTTCT